TGCAGAGACAGAAACTGACAGAAAGAGCTGCTCCAAAAGGAACAGGTTTGCTAAGAGAGGCCTGCTTGGTTGCAGGTGGATGGTCCTGAGGAGAGCGGTCTCTGCTGGGGGGATCACCCCGGCATGACTGTGCTGACTAGCGAGTTGCTGTAAAGAAGACCTGCATAGGCACAGGTGGGCAGACTGCTGCCCTGTGTCAGTGCAGACTGCCCTAATATAGTCTTCTCTTTGGGAGGGGCTCGTTCCTGCCCCGAATTGTTTGTTGTTGGCTGACTTTGAATAAACTATGTAGAATTTGAAAGGGGCCAGATTTCTAGAATGGCCTCAATCTGCTGCATCTTCACCTTCAGGTCCATGGTTCTGACAGTTCCACAGCAGTCTGATACCTGCTTGGGTCTTGTGCTTTGTGATCTAGGCATTGACAAGGGTCTTGTGGCACCTCAGTTTCTTTTAGCCTTATCCCCCATCATTAACACATTCTATTATATATTATCTTTAAAAAAATCACATTCCTCAATATCATGACCAATTTCAACAGAAAATAAAACTTCTAAGTTTTGGGAAGTGGTGAAGCTCCTAGTGGCAGATACAAGTTTTCTACTGAAGCAAGGTGACCTGAGATAAGCAGCCTGAGGACCTTAGTAACAACCTTTTGCTCAGTTCCTGGTATGCAACTTAGTCCCTGATAGGAATCTTGCTTCATTTTAGACCATAGTATCCCTGTGAGGCAGACTGGGCATGGGGGGGTGGTGCTGGTGGTGGTGGGGGTTGTCCCTGACTGCTGACCCTTTACTCACTCCTTGGTATGCAACTGACTCACCTCTTGGCATGCAGGCACGTCATATCGGACCATGTATTGCTGCCAATGCAAACCCACCTGGAACCTTGTAGAAACTGAAAGTGTATATGAGCCCCTGCCTTCCTACAGAAGGAGCTCAATCTTAGGATGCAAATCTGCTGAGTCAGCACCGATACCTTAAACCTGCTTCTTGTTAGCCCTGATCCCCAAGTTTCCTTTGGGCCATAGAACACTTGAAATCTCAAATTGTATCACTGGCAAATACTGTCAGGTGTTCCCCTGAAAAGACAGACTTGCTTTGTTACTTTAAAAACAATTTTTTTAAAAAAGATTTATTTATGAACTGGAGTACAGGCAGGAGGTGTGGGGGGTGTGTGTGAAAGGACTCACCAGAGACAGAGTGGCAGATGTACTGAAATACACTGAGGGGAACAGCGGGCAGGCCAGAAGAGGTCTGCCACGCCATGTGGGTCAGCTCCCTGGCCGGGGATTGAGCTCACGCTGCAGTGGCTGAGGACAGCTTCATAGAGCTGCGCTTTAACCTGTTGAGCCACCAGGGAGGGCCTGCTTTGGTACTTTTTAAGAGAAGATTTGCCAGATACCCAAATCTCCTGACCACTGTTTGTCTGCCAGTCTTTAAAGTGCATCTAGTTCAACTCACAACTGGACAATTGCCAGCCTTGGCTGTGCATCGCAAGTGTGACACACCTAAATCCTGGTTCATCATGCAGTGTTGGAAAGACATGTTCCTCAAAGTTTAAGATTTAATAAAATTAATATATTTTACTGCTTCATCAAGGACATTCTAAAGTGAAGTTTATTTTCTTAAATTCCTAGCGCATAGATGTGAAGAATCTGATGACATTTTGTATAGTTTATGTCAGAAGTAATTATTTTTTTCTTTTCTTTTTTATTATATTAGTTTATTTTTACATATAATTGTGCATTTTTCCATCTCTGTTGCAATCCCATTGGGTTTCCCATCACCAAATCACCCATGTGCCATCACCATAGTCCAGTGCATTTCCCTCCCCCCACTGTTTTTGATCCCATTCCACACTCCACCCCCACAAAATGTCTCTGCTATATAGCTGTTCATCATTATTATTTTCTCACCTGTTCCGTTATATTCCTGCTATGAGAGAAACCATTATCTTAAAAGTAATTCTAAGATAGTTTTACACATCAATGTTTTTGCACGATCAGCACAAATGAGTGTTGACACTATAAAGGTCCTAGTTTTATTTTTTTTTT